TATATTATTGACATACAACACTGAACTGCATCCTGACAAACAACAAAACAACATAAAAACAAGCATTATTACAATAATGCAAACATATCAGCATGCCACAAATTCAGAAGAAAAAATATCGAAGGCTGATGGAGAAAACTGAGAAAATTAAGATTTATCTATTTCTTGACCTTTGACCTAGATAAAAAGTTGACCTAATTTCTCCCTATCTAGGACTTGAACCTTGATTAACCATATAATTTCTGAAGTTCTTATAGTAGTTCAGGAAAGTTGTAATAGAATTGAAAAACGAAAAGAAGATTTCATCTGGAGTATAATTAAGAACGGAAAGTATTTTATTTGTGGTTAACAGCACAGTGTGATCTGTTGAATTACCAGAATGTTCATTTGATATATTTCCACCCATTTCACCTGTCATCATTAAAGTAAATTAACAAATTATTGCTATGATAATTCCTTATATTGAATCCCCTTTGCTCCCGAATCCACTCATTAAAAGATAAAGTAGTGATATGTGAAGTGTTATGCAACCTGCCTGCGAGTGTTTAACATGACATTTTCAACATAATCAACATTATTGAGATCCTAGTAAGATTGAAGGGCTGGTTAATAACACAAAACAGAGATTTGAAGTCAGTTTGTGAGTCATTTAATTGCGGTTTTGTTGCTGGATGATTAGAAGATGTTTGTTTTTAAGTTTGAAGGTGCTGGAAACTGATTGTAAACATCAAAGTAGACAGGCAATCTTTTTATGTTCATGTTCTTTTGTCACCAGATTGGGCAATTCTTTCATGTTTTGTGTCAATATTGGGCTATTGTTTTTGTCAACATGGGGCTATTCTTTCATGTTTTGTGTCAACATGGGGTTATTCTTTCATGTTTTGTGTCAAAATTTGGCTATTCTTTCAAGTTTTTGTCAACATTGGGCTATTCTTTCAAGTTTTTGTCAACATGGGGCTATTCTTTCATGTTTTTTGTCAACATTGGGCTATTCTTTCAAGTTTTTGTCAACATGGGGCTATTCTTTCATGTTTTTTTTGTCAACATTGGGCTATTCTTTCAAGTTTTTGTCAACATGGGGCTATTCTTTCATGTTTTGTGTTAACATTGGGCTATTCTTTCAAGTTTTTGTCAACATGGGGCTATTCTTTCATGTTTTTGTCAACATGGGGCTATTCTTTAATGTTTTGTGTCAACATTGGGCTATTCTTTCAAGTTTTTGTCAACATGGGGCTATTCTTTCAAGTTTTGTGTCAACATTGGGCTATTCTTTCATGTTTTGTGTCAACATGGAGCTATTCTTTCAAGTTTTTGTCATCATGGGGCTATTCTTTCATGTTTTGTGTCAACATTGGGCTATTCTTTCAAGTTTTTGTCAACATGGGGCTATTCTTTCATGTTTTTGTCAACATGGGGCTATTCTTTAATGTTTTGTGTCAACATTGGGCTATTCTTTCAAGTTTTTGCCAACATGGGGCTATTCTTTCATGTTTTTGTCAACATGGGGCTATTCTTTCATGTTTTGTGTCAACATGGAGCTATTCTTTCAAGTTTTTGTCATCATGGGGCTATTCTTTCATGTTTTGTGTCAACATGGAGCTATTCTTTCAAGTTTTTGTCATCATGGGGCTATTCTTTCATGTTTTGTGTCAACATGGAGCTATTCTTTCAAGTTTTTGTCATCATGGGGCTATTCTTTAATGTTTTGTGTCAACATTGGGCTATTCTTTCATGTTTTGTGCCTATTCTTTCATTTTTTGTGTCAAAATTAGGTATTCTTTTCACATATCCTGTCACCAATTGAATGTTTTATCATGAGGCACTGGAGCTTGTCTATACTATGATACTGTTATTCTAGGTGACTTTATGGGACAGTAGAATTCAATGGTATTCTATTTCATAGTTGGGGTTTGTTTTCCTTATGACTGGTGTACTCTAAGATGTTTTCTTTTTCTTGCTGCGTTCTGTATAACCATTCTTGGTTCTTTTCCTTTGGCACTTGCGCATACATATTAATAATAGATGACATGGCCTGGTAGACTTGGTAGATCAGCTGACAAGTCTAAACTAAAACTTATAGTATAGGCACCTCATTCTAGTTCCATAGACTTTCTTGTACTACATGCAATTTAAAAATGTCATTCACACACTGAAGCTAATTCCTTTGTCAATGCATTATATGAGAACCATATGTAAAGGATATGTAGACACCACCTTCAAACAATTACTGAGGTTGGAGTTTAATGTGCACAGTTCAAGTCGGCAGCCTCATGTACATGTCTAAACATGGAATGCTTGGGGTTCTTGACTCTTTTTCTGGCTAGCTAATCAGAACGATTTTGCCAGACATGCAGTCACAATTATTTGACATAAAGCAAAATTATCTGACATAAAGTAACAATTATTCATACATGTGCCGGCCACAGATAAAATCAGGCTGCTAATCTCATTAACATATTTTTAAATTGATAAAACCATACATAATGTATCAATTTCAGTGAATGTGTCCTGGAGTTAAATTACTTGTAGTACTAGGATGTGATTTGAAAAAAGCAGCTATGGTTTCAGAGAAATAAATGATTGCTGCATGTAATAAAATCCTTTTAAACTTGCTTCATAATGATAGTCCAACCCTAACTGGAGTTTCTCACTGTATTGCTTATATGAATATCCACAAGCTCAGCCCTGCATCCAAATGAGGGGGGGGGGGGTGTGGCCTTCCTCCCAAATATCTGGTTCAATATTTAAAATCTGAAAACTTCCACATTAGAAAAAATTTGAAACTCTAACCCCTCAATCCCAATTCGAACACCTTTGGCAGGTCTCAGGGCATTTGAATTAGACAGGTTTTACTTTACATGTATTTAGCTATTAGAGCTTATTAGGATACATTTCCCAGTGAATTTAGAATCTCAAAATGGTCTTTTTTTGCTAGAGAAGTATTTAGCAATAACATTTAGCAATAATTATCACTCTTCCATGGAGTAAACCTGAAAATTGAGAAACTCAGGGAGTCAAAAAATTATTTTTCTAAAATATCTAATTGGTCCTTTCTTGATTAAATAAGGCTCAAAAAGGGCACTTTTAGGCTTAGAATGAGACAAATTGTTGGGGTCTGTAGTAAGTGTGATTTTTAGGATATAGTTGGGGTCTATAGTAAGGGGAGATTTTAAGGACTCTGTTAAAATTATCCTTACAAGTTCTTATATTTTTGTCTAAATTTTGTCAACCAAATTTGCAAATGTTCTTAATAATTTAGAAAAATTTGGGAATTTTTTGGCAGTTTTTTGGAAACATTTGGAAAAAATTGATCCCCGACCTTACCAAGGTTGGCCATGGGCATTGGTCTTGTGATGGTTAATCATTATTTTATTCTTTACATATTCTGGCGTGTTCAATTGATCCCTCCAACCTCACCATCGATCAATGGGACGCAGCCCAGAGACACGTTAAGTTTGCCCAAAATGGGACTGCAACTCGGGCCAATCATTACAAATTGGCGGCGGTAAGCTTTTATGAAACTGAACAACCATTCTGCTATGCTTTCTAGACATTTCACCCCTTGGATAAAAATAATTAGTTTTCTTAATACAACAAATAATTAACAATCAGTTATCCTGATGTCTACTGTTGCTCCTTTTCACAATTCTATTTTTTATACATGCAAGGAAGGGATTTCTTAGGGATTCTAATTAAAGTGGAAACCTTTTTTAATTCATATGTACCTGTTATATTTGTTTTCATACTTGAAGAAATTAAAGTCTTTCATGCAAATTCAGTCAGAATTCACTAATAACCCAAACCATGGCATTTTATATGTACATACATGTATATTTGTATATACAGGTATATTGGGGTGAAGTGTCTTGGAAATGTGTGAAACATCTAAGGGGTGAAACATCCAGGGGATGAAATGTCTAAAGAGTGAACAGTCTCGGAGTGGGTGAAACATCCAAGGGGCGAAATGACTTGATGTGATATACTGTACATTCTGTGCTTTTGCTTCTCATTGCCTTTCCTTGTGGAGATTTCCCTGGTATTCCTTGATGACAAACGACCATTTTTCATTTGTGGTAGTAGTAGGCATACTTATTATCACTATACAATTCGCTAATTAAGGATGTATGTGCAATTTTACAACAATCAGTCAGATTGATAAAGATTCCACACATTGCTAGGCCTGCTATATAAAATTCCAACCAATCAAAACACATAATTTCAATTAATCTGCATTCTTGAAATTACAACCAAGCATGGCTATTTTTAGATTGTATTTTTAGATTTCAAGTTGGCTGTCCTGAAATAAAAAATAATGAAATAATATTAGATTTAGGATATGTTGGCTCAGTATGCATTGTCTCATATTCTTGAGACCTGATCATTTTTCATGATAAAATTCAAAAGTGTACTTTTTTATTTAGATTGACTTGCTGATGGATGTTGTACTCTTGTTTCAAACATCTGTTTCGTAAAATATGTCATGAAGTCTGGAAAGTGTACTCAAGATTTTTTCTGGAATTTACTTTCATCGACTACAAAATTGTTACAAGTATATTTTCTCTCAAGAAAACAAAATACTGTCGAGAAGTCTTTTCTCTAAACTTTGAAATTTGAGGTCCACTTACCTAGAATAAGCTCAAAATTTCAAAAAATAATGCCCAGTAATGTCAGTTTGTGAGATATATTTCTTCGTTGCATCTTAGAGGGGAGGGGGGAATATTTCACTTGTTAACAAAACAGAATTAAACTTTACTCGTTTGGTATATATCACTGACAGTATATGATACTTTTTTAATGTCTCCAACTTTTTGTGGACAGTGTTTGGTGGCCTGTGGTAATCAGCATCTGTAATAATTTGTGTTTAGAATCTGTAAAAATTTGCAATAACAACTTACAAGGTGGTGACATTTTGTTCTGTAAATACCTTGATGATTATTATAACAAATTGCATGTAAATGTGCAACCTACTGATTCCACATGATTCCCTTTTATATTTGCAGTGGTCCAAGTGAAGGTGGCATACAAGATGAGAATGAGGCTCTCACAAGGGCATGTGGAATGGATGTGGGAGGGGAATACACATATAAACTGACAGTCTTTGACATTGAGGGCCTTGAGAGCTCTGATACTGTCACCATTACAGTTAGAGACAAGCCAAAGGCTAGAGGTAACTGAACATTTTCATTCCATGCATGGGCACAATGTTTCAATGTCTTCAATTATACCATACTCTCAGAGCTTTTTCTGTCCCTCCATACCAATGATATGATGTAAATTATGTAATAAAAACAATAACTTACCAAATAATTTTTCCATCATGCTTGAGTACATATATGTATATCAATGTGTTCTTGAAGATGATATCTTTATTGCCGTTGAATTTAGTCATATTTTTAGTGAAAGAGGGCAGGTTTATGTCAAATAGGACTAGGGTAACCAGGTATGAAACAGGGCATCTGTTGTTTTATTGAATAAATATTGTTGATATTACACATTCTGCTACATTCTCTAGCCAAGGCTCATATTATGTTTCTATTTATTAATTAAACCATCAAATTATATCAGCTTTGGAAATAGAAATATCAATATCTGATTTGCCAAATTGTAATTTTATTGAGGCATAGTTGGTTTTTATGTCACCACCAGAAGTGGTAACATGTTGTTATACTAGTAGTCTCCAACTTTTTTCGATAACAAATGGCAGGTGGTGACATTTTACATGTTATGTATATGCCTTGTTATTGAACATGCTTTGATTATTATTTTATAGGACCATGTTTAGCAGAGGCCGATGTTGTGTTCATACTTGACTCTTCTGGAAGTATTGGAGAGGACAGCTTTGAGAAAATGTTGGATTTTGTGCGAGATGTGGTTGAAAGGTTTGACATTGATGGCGGTGCAGTTAGAATTGGGTTAATTACTTACAGGTATAGAAAAAACAGTTTGAAAATTGAATGTTGAATAAATAAAAATGAAAATCATTTATCTCAAATTTTAGAATAAAGATATAAATACTTCAAATACAAATACATACAGGGTGTCCAAGAACTCATGAGAATTTTTTGAGGAAGATATAAGGCATGTGTTCTGGGACACCCTGTATAATAATAGAAAAATATATTGGCAAAAGATTGGCAATTTTGATTTTGACTGCCCATTTGTAATCATTTAGGAAATAAAATATTGAAAATAGAATTGTTCTAACTATATTTATTGGTACGTTTATCTATATCCTGTACATATATACAAGTACCCCCTTGACATCTTTCTATCTTATCTCTTTCTGGCAGTGATGCGGCCGTATCAGTGTTCCGTCTAAATGAGCACAAAACAACCGAGGATGTAGTGAAGGGTCTAAAGCAGGTGGAATACAGGTATGGACTGACTCACACCTCTGATGCACTTCGATTGATGAGAACCCAGATGTTTACAGAAGCTGCAGGGGACAGGCCTAATGTAGTAAATGTGGCTATTATCATCACTGATAGCGAATCGAATGTGAATCATGAAATGACTGTTCCTGAAGCTAGGTAAGTTATGTGTACTTGTTTAAGAGTTCATTTGATTATACTGCCATCTTTATTAGAGTACAAAGTCTTTAATGATACATCACCTTGCACACGGAGTTCAAAACCAAATGTACTGACTTGAAAGTGATGTTACATAGTGTAGGGCAGAAATAGACAAATCAGTCAAACTGCCATCTTTTTATTGGCCCTGCATCTATGTTAAAAAATACAGATTTAGAAATGCTTTTAGACAAAGGGTATGTCTCAATTTTTGAATTCACTACAATATTACAAACATATACATATGTTCATAGTGAAAATCAACAGATAATCTGTCAAGAATATATTTTTCAATTATTCCTGACACTCATAATTCGGGTCAGTATTTGGGTGTTATTGGCTTTTTACCTTCCAAATGTAATCATGTTCATTTCTGTACATTTTTGCATTGATGTTTATCCTTAAATTCATGAATCATTTGTCATTATCAGGTTGGTAAAGGAGGATGGTATCACTGTACTAGGAGTGGGTATAGGACTATCTGAGAGACGTCATGAACTTGAAGGTATTGCTTCTGCCCCACAGTTGGTCCATTTTGTCCACGACTATGAGTCTTTGATCAACAACACTGCTAGCTTAACTGATCCAATATGTGTAGGTGAGTAAAATGGGATACATGTACAGTAAAACCTGTATATCTGAACACCTGGCTAATCCGAACACCTTCCAATTTGAACACTTTTTTTCGGTCCCATTTTTTCCTCCCATTGACTCCCATGTTAAAAAAACCTTGAAATCTGAACACCTCCTAATCTGAACAGTGAACAATCAGATTTGAAAAACTGACCTGTCTAATCTGAACATTTTATCAGAAATCAAATGTCTGGACATTTCAATAATAGCCACATGTTGAGTCAATGTTATAGTTCTTATTATCTTTACATATGCAATGTAATCAAAGAACCAATATTGTCCTAATTATTAACTTATTTAAGTCTCAATGACATCCCTAATTGTGGAAAACAACAGGAAAGGTGTGAATACGGGAGTTAATTGGTTTATCCTATTAGAAAAGAACTGAATGTTTTATGTTTGGATTAAGAGAAAGGTGTGAATCAAGAAGATAATTGGTTTATCCTTATTTTAAATTAACTGGATGTTTTTTATTTGGATTATGAACAAGTCTTAACTGTTTTATATCCCATGAGTCTGTTATGATAGCTAGGATTCAATCAGTAAATGTTTTATAATCACAGAGACAACACAGACACATTTGCAGACAAGATTATAATTGTTTTATCATTATTAGAAATTACCTGGATGTTTTTGATTTGGATTAAGAGAAAGGTGAGAATCTGGGAGATAATTGGTTTATCCTTATTTTAAATTAACTGGATGTTTTTGATTTGGATTATGAACAAGTCTTAACTGTTTTATATCCCATGGGTCTGTTATGATAGCTAGGATTCAATCAGTAAATGTTTTATAATCACAAAGGCAACACAGACACATTTGCAGACAAGATTATATCATGAGAAAGAGAAAAAATTCAACTTCGTAATATCCTATCGCTAAAATGCTTCCTAAAAAGGCACATCTGACATACTGAATGGCCTTAATATTTTGAAAGATTATGCATCATCTCGAATGAGCACTCATGAAAAATTCTTTTTAATTGAAGAGGGTATCTACTCAAATAGTGCTAATGCTAAAAGTGCCAAGAAACAAACAACAATGAACGACCTACAGCTAAAGTAAAGCAGTGCTATGTAACCATAATATGAGATAAGTCATTTAATAAGCATACAAACTATCATATACTTTGTACAAACTATCATATACTTATTCAGTGTATTACAAAGCTTTTGCCAAAATTAAAGAGTTATTTTTCCAAAAATAATGAAATTGTTCAAAATGTAAATAAAACATAGCATATACAAGTAGGCTATAGGCCTATTGTAGAATAAACTCATCAACAACATGTATTGTTTTCTGACTAAGTATTAAGTGTTCAATATTAGTGGACTGAACAATGAAAATCCCCCCCCCCCCCGACCAACAATATCTTCGAAATTTGAACACCTGCCAATTTGAACGCTTTTGGCTGGTCCCATGGGTGTTCGGATTAGACAGGTTTTACTGTACAGTGAAACCTGTTAAGTAGAACACCTCTAGAAGTAGAACACCTCCCAAGTGGAACACTTTTCTGAGTCCAAAGACCACCTGACTTAATGTTAAATGAACCTCTATAAACGGAACAGCTCCCAAGTGGAACACGTTTAGAGATACCAAAGATGTTCCACTTAGACAGGATTTGCTATATACATATGTATATCATTGTTGTTTATTTGTATATGCATCAAAAGATCCTTTTATTACAGTTGAACATTACTATTTTTAACATGCTATACATGTACTGTTACATTTGTGTTGAAATATCTATATTTTCATTTAATTCATTACACAAAGAATACTAGAGTGCTATGCATACTAATACTTTGTTCACAGATTTTGGTTTGGTGACTTTGAAATAGGATCAGCACTCTTTCATCACTATCGCATTATATAAGACATTCAGTTATAATACAAGTACAGTATACAAAAAGCTGTTCTGCGGAGTGCTCTTACCCTGGTACACCCTGGTATTGCCATTGTCTATCTCTTACTTATTCACTTCAGCACATATAAGTTCATTTGCTTGTTAGGTGAATTTGAAAGTAGAAAATCTTTATAGCTTATCTCCATCCACCAAAATCAATAACTGATAGAAGAGTATTGGTGATGGCAATTTTGAAATAATCAATTATTGATATCTATTTGGCAGATTCATTGTACTTGTGATGGAATAAAACATGCGCAGACAATTAATTCGAGACACCTTGACCCTTCATGTCATTTCCGAGACATGAACAATAGTGAGTGATCAACAATCGGTTAAAATAATGCAATTCTGAAAGCGTATTCAATACTCTTGACTGTCAAGAAATTGAGTTGAGTGATCTCTCTCATACTGTTAAAGCAGTGTAGTCCTTGATGGATCAAGATGGATTTCCCTAGCTTTTTAGCAAATTGTGATGAATACCCTGTTGAAATTTTAACATAACATGTGTCTTTACTAGAAAATCTGTTTGCACCTTGTCAAGTGGATGAATAATTCATATATTTAAATCAAAAAGGTAAATTACTTTAGTATTCGATCAGCACATATTGAGTTGGGGAATAAATACAATATCTTATAGAGTGGATTAAGTTGCTAAAGCGGGGAAATGAATATGATATCTCCATTAAATTGCTAGAGTGGGAGAATAAATACAATATCTCATAGAGTGGATTAGTTACTAATGCGGGGAAATAAATGCGACATCTCATAAGGTGGCATGAATATTTTCTTACTCACCAGATTTTATGTTGATAAAATTTTGAAAATTTTAGAATTGCATCAACATTTTGTAGATGTAAAATTTATTTTTCATTTAATTTTGGATAATCGATTATGAAATTGCTCATTGATTCTGATGCTATAAGTTGAATATCATGGAATTGATTATGACACTGGCATATTGGAAAATCCCGTACATCTATATCTTGTAATTGTGTGTGAATATGATTGAGTCACAACTGGATTTGGTGGCAGCGTTCGGATTATAAACCTGACAAAGATACAATTCAATTCTGAAAAACAATCGATAAATGTAAAATTAAAAAAATCTGTAAACGTTATGTTGATTACTAATTGTTCAAAATTCAGCAACTGACACAATGATTAAATATTGCATTTGATTATGTTTTAACAATTCTGAATCATAAATTCACATATAAAGATCAGATTATAGATTAGTGGTATATAATTTGAAAATTGATTGTTGTATAAAATAAATTGAATATAAACATGAAATACACAATCAATGTTAAACAAGCTAGTAACACTGGCATAACATCTGTCATTTTATGATAGTTTGGAACGCCTCACTAAACACAGTCAGAAATCAATAACACTTACATATCGCAACCATTCTAAGCCTTTGGTGTCCGTTTGCATAGAGTTCCATTTAAGATTTAAAACATTGATCACTGCATCTAAATGTGGGATCTTATGTAAAACATAGACACCTTCAAAATTGCCATTATCACACTGGTGTCGACAAAATATGTTTGTTTGTACAGCAACTACTGAAAAGATTAGTTTGCCATTAGGTACTGAATTTGAATTTGTATCAACAAGTTCCAACAGGGGTTTAGGTCTGGAGGCACCCAAAAATTTAGCAGTTGAAAAATTTGTGTTGGGATCCACTATAGCTTGACCTACTATAGAGCGTTTGTGTATCTCACTGTATTGAAAGTCTTTTCGAATGCAGTTCCATTGTACGCCCAGTCTTGCCAAGGCCATGTTGACAATTATCTGGTCATCAATTATTGCTTTCTTTGATTCCTCAATAGCTGCCCCCCAAAACAAATCTGAAAAAGAGAGTAATACAAGTAGATGCTTTCTGAAAATTTCAATTCCATTAATAACTTACAGATAAACGTAATTTGTAAAAAACCTCCAACATGTACTATAAACAACACAAAAAGATGAACTATATGCAGTATGTTACTATCTTAATCTGAATTGAACTGTTCGACTGAGAAAATTTTAGTGACTAATTGTCAAAAGAACTAGTTTTCTAGCATATTCTTTGTCAACATTTATTTCTCAGTACCTGTACGTGGAGTATAGCGCAGCAAGGTCACGCCAAGATTAAGACTGAAGCCCCACTTCCTTGTAATATCAGCTGGGTACTTCCCCGCCGCAGAAATTACATCTGCATCTGGATAGATTTCCCAGAGAGGCCCCGCATCTAACAGTGGATAAGCATCAGAATCAAAATTAATGATGTCATATCCATGGTGATGTAAAAGTTTCCATAGAAATAAGCGTAATATCCAGAACTTTTTTATATTATGTAAGAAGCCTTCTGATTGGCCAATTGGGAGGAATATATTATCATATGGTGTTAGTATATTTGGAATTCCCTTTTCCTTGAGCCAAAGGTGTACTTTATTTTCAGGGGTGAATATCAGAATGTTTTTCATTGGTGGCTTATTCCGAAGGCATGCAAGAATCAACCAATTGAGAAGGTTCAGTTCATAACCGATGCTAGCCCCGATCAAGGTTATCTGTTGAGTCGGGGTCTTTGACAAGATACATTGAAGGTCCTTGACCAATTTACTCCTTAATGCTTCCGAAGTTGTCTTTAGATACCTTTCCTGGTACGGAAATCTCATTTTAGATGGATCAATATTAGATAATAGCTCAGATCTGTTAAAAGAAGACATATAACGATCACTGATATCTTTATTAAAAACATCCATCATGTTATCAATACTGCAATTTTGTCTTTCACCTTCTTGAATGAATAAATGTGTTCTATTGGGCTGCAACAATGTGTTGAATCTACTTAATACACTTTGCTCTCCTGGTATTGATTTCATCATCTTCCTACCTAATTGACTTACATCGTGGTCTATGATGAAAATAATGATCACCAAAATTGTCCATCCAAGGGCTGCGCAAGACACAAAAAGTGTTTTTAAACGAGCCATTAATTCTGTCGATAAGTTCTTTGAATATGCCTAACAGGACATTTGATCTTTGTGTATATATTATTCTATTTTAACAAATGGAATTGAAATCATCTAGATTTTTTGTTCATTCTAATGACAAAATAGATCTACATGTACCATCTTGCAAATGGAAAACTCATAAAATATATATTTTCAATACTTTAGTCTTGCAGAGCGAACTAGAACAATCATTAATACATTTGTTATTAATTCCGTCATTTTTAACATTCATTTCAACACATCAATAATTACAGACAATATGCTAAATCAGGTCATTATAATTTATTGACATTTATAATTAACCTTATTGTTTTCTACTAGTTTTTTTTGAATGGCATGAACATGATAATAATTTTATAATGTAAGTGTCAGATTTGTGTAATGGTCAGATGCCTTTATGATCTGTTTATTTTATTTGTGATGTCTGGGTTAAGGTAGCACAATCAACTGAGAGAATTATTGGTTTAAAATCCCAAAATGTATTGATCTCTGCTTATTATAAACACCATAAAGGACCTAGTCAATATTTCAATTTTGTCTCAAAATTGATGATATTTTAGATTGATCCCCATATTTTCCTTATTATTTTCCTTTAAAGAGTGTTCCGCTTTAGAGGCTTTCCATTTACAAATTCATTAAACAGTAAGTCAATTGGATACAGATTTGAAAAAAGTTCCGTTTATCGAGGCTTTCCACTTACAGACATGTTTACAGGTTTTGCTGTTTGCTACAAAAAGTTAACTTTTACTCATCTCCTAAGTGTAATTATCTTTATCAGCATTAAAGGCATTAATATTTTAAACTTGTCCCTAAATCATTCCAACATTGATACGTGCATATTGCAAATGTAAGCCTTTTGGGCCCTTTGTCTAATTCCATTTTCATTTGATTTGATTTGATTTGAAAACTATATTTATTCTAGCCTTCTGATATTTTCTTTGTTTTACATGTTCAGTTATTAATAGATAAATGACTTTTTAGGAATATTTTAAAGATCATCTTCCCCCCTCTGAGTCTTAAGTTCATTAAAATGAAGAGGGGCCATATATGGCAAATATGACTACTCGCTAAACGCTATAGCATCATTCAGAATCAGTTTGTCACTGAAATGTATTTATCAAGTGAAAACACCGTAGTTGGCTGCACATTCATGATAAGCTGTTTCTTTGGAAACACCAGCTGATACATGGCTTTACGGAAATCCTTATTTCTCCATGAGTAAATGATAGCATTTAGGAATGAGTTGAAATAAACAAAGATGGTCGCATATCCCAATGATATTTTGAGCCAAAAGGGTCTCTCTTCTGGTGTATAAGGCCGTAGAAAGACAGAGACAATGATGAATGGGAGGTAACAGACACAGAGACTGCAAAACACCATAGCCATTGTCTTCGCCATTTTGGTGTCAGAATTAGCACATTTCTGACCATAACTGATCTCTTCTGCTTGGATGCGTTTCTTTTGCTGCCAGGCTATGTAGAAGATTCTAGCATATAACATTGCAGATGTAATACTTAGTAGACCACCAAGACCCAAGATCACTATAGAGTACATGGCTCTATTGAGTACAAGAAGACCTGTGCACTGAGTCCCTGATCTCCAATTGTTCAACCCAATCATTATGCCCAGTACATTGAATACAAACAACCAAATAAATATGACTGCTCCTAAGAGTCTTTTCTTAGTCATTAGCTGGTGGTACATCAGTGGTTGCGTTATTGCCAAGTAACGGTCCAAAGCAATCAGTGAAAATCCTAGAAAACTTACGGAAGCTGTGGCTAGTGTTACATACTGACACACCAAACATGATATTTTCTCTAGCATTAAACTACTGTATACCATATCAAGCTGGTAGAAACGCAGTGAACAATATGGTAATGACACCCCAAGGAGTAAATCCGCACATGCCAAATTCACAAACAGTTTATTCATCACCGTATGTAGAGATTCAACCTTTGCAATGGTGATGACTGTTAAAATGTTAATGACCAGGATAAGAACTGATGTTATTTCACTTAATATTATGTAAGATACAGTGACACCTATTGGTACGTCATGATTGTTGTCCCTTGTCATAGGTAATGTTATATTGTTTGGTGCCATTAATTTAATATGAATTTTCGTTTGTCACATAATTTGTTATTTTCTTTGTTTGAGTTTCCAATCTTTAAATTATGTTCTATTTCTCAAACATAAATATAGTAAAATTGTAACCCGAGTAGTGCTCCTCCATTGCAAATCCATGTATCTGATTGGTCAGCGACTATCCGGGATGAGGCAATCCAAAATGGGACATCTCAAATAGAAATCTCACTTTCTTAGTTTCACTGATTATATCGTGAGAATATTTCCTTCGCTATCTGTTTTGAAAATAAAAATATGGATTTAACAGTCATGATATATCTCAATGATTATGACATTGGTCATCTGATCCTGTATGTTTGTAAAGTAATCATATGTATTCCAAGTCTGTATACTTTACCACATTGTGTATGTATGTGTCAAAGATAATGCAAGTACCGTATGCCTAATCAATATTATTAGACTGATGCTTTGTCTTGGAAAATGTCATCGTTTAATCCATTTTCTTGTTGTAAATATCTTGTTATTCAAACTTCTAAAGGTATACATACTATTGTTTGGTTGAAGTAATGTCTATTCTAAGAACTGTATTATGCTATATATCAAAAGGAATTTGCTTGCGTTGGCTGCACCTTCTACATTCTGAAGACTTCTTCAATAATACTTTGATTTGATGAAGTTCCAAGTAGATTGATTATCTGGTGTCTATGGGGTGATATATTGTTATGTTTTAAAATGCCATGTGAGAATGATGGTATTTGGATTGAAGGTGTTTGTATGTGTTTGTTTACAGATGACCAAGATTGTACCTCCCTGCTATGTGAGAATGGTGGAACTTGTATTGAAGGTCTTGTTTATATTTGTTTACCAGGATTGTACCTCCCTACCAAGTGAGAATGGTGGTACTTTTATTGAAGGTGTTTGTATGTGTTTGTTTACACATGCTCAGGATTGTGGCTCCCTGCTATGTAAAAATAATGGTACTTGAATTGAAGGTCTTGTATGTGTTTGTTTACAGATTACCACGATTATACCTCCCTGCTATGTAAAAATAATGGTACTTGAATTGATGGTCTTGTATGTGTATGTTTACAGATTACCACGAGTATACCTCCCTGCTATGTGAGAATGGTGGTTATTGAATTGAAGGTCTTGTATATGTTTGTTTACAGATGACCAGGATTGTGCCTCCCTGCTATGTGAAAATGATGGTGCTTGTATTGAAAGTGTTTGTATGTGTTTGTTTACAGATGACCAGGATTGTGCCTCCATCCCATGTGAGAATGGTGGTACTTGTATTGAAGGACTTGGTGGATACACATGCAGATGTAAATATGGCTTTGGTGGAAAATCGTGTGAAACTAGTAAGTATACTAGTATATAGGGCAAATATATTTTACAGCTATTAGCCCTTGAACATTGTGCCTATCTGCTGTACTACATGTCCTTGGCTATTTCTAACATTTGCTTAGTTTATTTCTATGATAATTTGTCATACAATTTAAGAATAACTTGATAGATATATTTTATTATTGTTATAGTTATATTATTAATTTAAGTGAAATCATTGAACAGTATGGGATAAAACAATTTTATATCTTTCTTATTAAGAAAAATACCAAATTAGCCCTCATTATGAATCCTATATTTGTTCCCAAATTCCCACTCAATAAGTAACCTCTGTTCAGGTTTGATGCCATGTTGATCTGTTTAATATTTCTCTCAAATTTTGTTTTGTTTCAGAGTGCCCCAAGGAGGCAGATATCATATTCATTGTTGACTCAAGTGCCAGTGTGGGGGAGCAGAATTTTCAGCTCCTAAAGGAGACTGTCTCTACCATGGTGGAGCAAATGGATATAGAGTCGTGTGGTATACAGGTGGGAATGGTCACCTACAGTACTGCAGCTAGGATTCAATTCCATCTAAATGCTCACAGAACAAAGGTATGCATTTTACAGTGTTATAATTCCATCATTCATACACTACAGAGTTTATATTTAAAGTCCCCATGTAAAGTTTGAGAATATGTTTCTATCATTTATTTACTCTTCGTCATGACTTTAAAAGTTATTATCCCATCGAACGAAGTTCAGAGGGATATAGGGAACGCCTCCATCCGTCCGACTTTACGTCCGTCCAGGCAATAACTCAAATACCATTGGCCCGAAGTTCTGCTCGTTTCAAAATGGCTGCTCTTTTAAAAATGGCGGCCATTTTAATGCCGATTTTACAGTAATTTAGGTGTAAAACTGTAATAGCAATATGTTTTAAATGTAAAAAATTATATAGGACATTACTAAAGCTAGAAATGTAGATATTTAAGAACCACATGGCAGCCATCTTGAAAAATGGCGGCCTTTACTCGTTATTTTATGATTTTTGCTGTAACTCGAAAAGTAGTGGAGCGGTTTTGTTCATATTTGGTATGTGAATACTGCTGTTGTCTAGTTTAAAAGAGATTTTTGAAAAAGGAAGCAATTTGTCATTTCACTCATATAACGCCTTTACTGTTCTTTAGGTTGGTATATTGAATGCTGTGGACAGTGTGAATTACATGGATGGTTATACACATACAGCAGATGGTATTGCAGCAGCACACAAACAGATGTTCCTTACTAGGTTTGGAGACAGGCCTGATGCAAGAAATGTTGCTGTTCTTTTAACAGGTATGAAAGACGTTATATTTTGTCATACTTGTCAGCTGTAAAGTTAGTATTCTGAAATATTTTCTTTCGTATAGGATAACTAAAATTTTTAATCATTGGATTGATACACTTCAAATTGGTTGAGTTAAATCCTAAATAATCATTTTCATGTCAACACCACAAATGGCGGTTGATGTCTGTAACAAATGGCAGGTTGTGACATTTAGCATGTTAATGCCTTCTTTATTTCTGGGGAAGGTTGTGTGCACTGTCCGTTCAAAGGTCAAGGTAAAATAAAAATTTATTATGACATGTACTTCTAGGACAGTCAGTACATGTCTTTTAAACTTACAGATGGTTACCATAACATCAACCTGGCTAAAACATTGCCCTCTGCCCGAGAAGCCGAACAAGATGGCATCTACGTAGTCACAATAGGTGTCGCCATTCCTAACAAACGTGAAATGACTGAGATCGCATCATTGCGCGATGAGGGCTCATTCTATGTGGACATATTCCGAGATGCCCCAAACACAGTGAAGCGAGTTAGAAAACTGATCTTTGAAGGTGAGAATTAAGAAGCTACTTTTTCAAAATATGATTAATTGCATCAGTAAATACAAGTGAGCATTGTGCGACTTGCGGCAAACTGGCAAAGTTCACAATAAATGGAAAGAAGATCATGGATCAGCAATATATCCTTAAATTTTATTTACTACTATACTACTGCTATTATATTTTGATTATATGAACTTGGAAAGGTGTTACATTTTATTGACTAAGAATTTTTGATGGCATGATGGAAGATACAAATATTCCTTGAAATAGTCAAAAGTTGTGAACTACTTCAATAGACATTTGAATATACAGCATGTCTTTCTATTTCCTAGATGAGGACCAATGTAAGGGAAATCCTTGTAAGAATGGAGGTAAATGTGAGGATGGTATCAAACAGTTCAAATGTACATGTCCAGCTGGCTACTCTGGAAAGACATGCGAGAGATGTAAGTAAAGCACCCCCCCCCTTATCCTATTCACCTACAGCAAAGCATATATGAATAAAATGGTGTTCATATGTTGAACCAGAAAATGGAAACACATATGCAGAGGACACATTCTCAACCAAAACCACATAAAGCACATAATGTATCATTTTGAAATGTACAACTGATATATTTATCATAGTTTTCACATAAAGGGTGGTCTTAATATAAGATGAGTAAGGAGTCGCATCAAAATATTGGCCTCTCCGAAAACATGATTCTGAGAATAATTTTACCTTCTCCCCATATTATGTTAATACATTATTGTATAAAGTCATCCTGATTTCAAACTGGATTGTATGTTGAACCATAGAATCCTATAATAGATTTTCATCATTTGTACAGAATATCTTCGATTTATGCTTCAGCTTGCGAATCAAAGTCTGATGTCGTCTTTGTGGTGGATGCCTCTAATCGAGTTGGCAGGGACACGTTCAGATTGGTCAAGGAATTCATTACGCAGATAGTAGAAGAGTTTGAATTTACGTCAGGAAATACAAGGTAAATATCTAAAACCTGACCTCTGTAGGAATTTGTTTGAAACCTGTGTAAAACTAATATCAGTGATCTCCCCAGGATTGTCGCAAGTTAGCGTTGCACCCACTTTAGATTTAATAATAGGCTAGAATCCATTTTCACCCACGTGAAAATAGAAAAACCATGAAAATAAGCATATTTTGACCGAATTGGTGTAAATTGAGAAATTAAGAATTTTGCACTCACTTGAGATAAAATCCTGGGGAGAACACTGAATGTGTATTATGAATGTTGTGGCTTGCTTGATGTGTTGACTGACAGTAAGTCATGTTCACATTTCAAGCTGCCTGCTTTCAGAGATGTTACATTCACAGGTTTTAAACAGGAGTATGTCCTGCTAAATATGATTGCCATGTTTGATTTCAAAAACATTAATTAATTCTGGTAGTCTAAATCGCGAAATTACAATTTTAATTCTTTTTTTAAAAAAAATAATTGGTGTGTTTTTTGTCTACTTTAATAGTATCATAATAACCTAAGATGCACATTAATACAGCAAAAGTCATCTTGCCTTTAGATTAACAATAAATATTGACTTTTTAAAACTATGATAATTATTAATAATTACATAAGATGGGTTTACATTATACACAGCTAAATGGCCACTCATTTAAAAATGGCGGCCATTTTAGTGCCGATTTTACAGTAATTTAGGTGCAATATGTAAAACTGTAATAGCAATATGTTTTAAATGTAAAAAAAATTATATAGGACATTAATAAAGCTAGAAATGTAGATATTAAAAAAGCATATGGCAGCCATCTTGAAAAATGGCGGCCTTTACTCGTTATTTTACGATTTTTGCTGTAACTCGAAAAGTAGTGGAGCGATTTTGTTCATATTTGGTATGTGAATACTATAAGCATGGCACACTGTCTAATGACACTTTTGGTAGAAGGCGACCATTTTGAAAAATGGCGGACATTTTGAAAAATGGTGGACATTTTGAAAAATGGCCGCCATTTTAACTTATTTTACTAAAACTCGAAAAGTAGTGGAGCGATTATGTTCATATTTGGTATGTGAATACGTATAAGCATGGCATACTGTCTAATGACACTTTTGGTAGAGGGCGGTCATGTTTCAAAATGGCCGCCATTTTAACGTATTTTACTATAACTCGAAAAGTAGTGGAACGATTTTGTTCATATTCGGTATGTGAATACTGTAAGCATGACACACTGTCTAATGACACTTTTGGTAGAAGGTGGCCATTTTGAAAAATGGCGGACATTTTGAAAAATGGCTGCCATTTTAACTTATTTTACTATAACTCGAAAAGTAGTGGAGCGAATTTGTTCATATTTGGTACGTGAATACGTATAAGCATGGCACACTGTCTAATGACACTTTTGGTAGAAGGTGGCCATTTTTCAAAATGGCCACCATTTTAACGTATTTTACTATAACTCGAAAAGTAGTTGAGCGATTTTGTTCATATTTGGTATGTGAATATTATAAGCATGGCACACTGTCTAATGACACTTTTGGTAGAAGGTGCCCCTTTTTGAAAAATGTTCGATGGGATTCGCTACGCTTTGGCGTTGCCGTTGTTCTGGTTATACTAACCTTAACATTCACATTTAAAAATTGCATGATCTTAAAACATTTATATTCATGTAGTGTAATTTTTATTTCTTGAACTTTCATACAGTAATATTTATGCGTGATAATATATCACCATTTAAGCTTGCCTCAAGATAAGTACATTGCACCATTTAACGACGTCCTGGGATTATTTTTGTAGTTCAGTTTATACCCAGACATGGTGACACTCCTGTAATATATACAAACAGCACTAAGCAGATTGAGACATCATGATCTGCAAATATTCATACATTGTATATGTTTATGGATACACAAGACAAAATCGTATGAAATAAGTTGCAATAAGCTAGTTATTAAGCTTGTTATTATGGTCTTACTAGTGGTTATTATTGAGTAATGGTACAGGTATTCGATATGGTATTGCAGCTTACACTTAAGTAATGGTACACGTATCCTTGGATTTTAGGCCCGAATACCGAGGTTTATTTTTTTAATTATCGTGTATTATTATTTTGTGTTAATATTAGTTAACCATCTAACTATTGGCATGATATGATACCTTGTTATATTAATATAGCGCATAGGCGTAGCCAGGGGGATGCGATGTGTGCGATCGCACCCCCCCCCCTCCATAAACAATGAAAATAGAACCATTAGATAGAAGAAAAAAGTCTTAAAATGCTTTTTATTTGAAGCTTCTAGCTCGATTTTGAACGAAGTTGCACCAATTTTTGTAAAATTCAAAACAAATCTTCAAAAACATTTTTTATGCCACGATCGCACCCCCCCCCCTCCCCCCGACTGAAAGCTGGCTACGCCATTGTAACGTGTAATCAATACGCTACATTTTGTATGTTCAATTTGTATACTAAAAACTGTTATTAATCCACAAATTTAGATGAAGACAAGATAAAAATTCGAATCAAGAATGAAAAGGTGTCTAAGTATATAAATCTTAAGGGTAATGCATATTTGAATTAAACAGAGGCGGGTTAATTTATATTGTGCTATGAATTACGCTATTATTCAAAATTGCAGCTAAGATGCCTGTTTTATGATACCCTGCGTGCAGAGTCTAGTTAAACTACACTAAGACGAAGCTCTCTTTTAAGAAGTGAAGTCAAACGAATGCAAAGGGTAGTTTTATGAAAAATATCACAGAAGATGTATTCTAGATATCAGTAGTATTCTCAGAAATTTATTATCCGAAACGGATAACATCTGGCCACTCAGACAAACAATCGCAGACATAGGCTAAGCTTGTTTATTTAACAGTTAGATTTGTTGACTTACCGATCCGTATTTCAATCTCCTGGAAAGACGTACTTTTCACTTTGTATTTGCGTGCAGTGTAATATAAGTTGATACTTTTGTTCAAAAATGTACTTTTAATGGCCATTTTATGCCTTTTATTTTCAAATTATGTTTTGTTTTGATGTCAGTGTGAAAAGTCAAGAAACGTCAACCCCGACTTTTAATTAAAAAATATTGGTTAATCACTTATGGCAAATCACAAGGTTGATGATGTCAACGGACCATGATCGTGGAAGGCTATCAATATCAGGTGTATATCGCATAGAAAATAAATATAGCTAATTTTTCGCACTGATATGATGTTGACTATTCTAGCGACTCGGGTAGATATTTCTCAGTTTTTTCCGATAATAAAACTATTCATTTCTATCAATTTTACAAACGGGGTCCTTTGAATGCACATTAAAACTATAAAAGTATTTATTGGGCGTACACACTCGTTCTGTCATGTTACTTACATTTCATTTGCAAGTTGTCCACATATTAATCCGGCTTTTTGTTTAATCAAATTTCCCGCCCCTTGAGGTTTCCGACTGTAAAACTTAATATTTAATACTAACCAATGCATCAGTTAATATTTTCAGAATACAAATTTTCCATTTTTATTTCTCTGATAGATAAAGTCTCATTTTGAATCTGTTCGTGTATTAAAGAGTATGCTTTTATAATGCCGTGGTCACATTTGCTCAGATTTTCAGCACCGGCGCCCGGCCGATGAGTATTTTGTTCAAAATTGTATTCAATTCTGAATAAAATACTCAATTGGCCGGGCGCCGTAATGAAAATCAGAGCAAATGTTACCAAGTCATAACTGATGAAAAATCAAATGAGAACATGAACATGGATAATAGGGGCACTATTACGCTGCGTGCAGAGTCTTATTATAAACTACGAGAAGACGAAACTCTCATTTAAGAAGTGAAGTCGAACAAATGCAAAGGGTAGGGTACTATAGAAGGGGATCATATAAAAGCACGATCTATTTCACAACGCCTTTAACTTTTGTTCTTCAACTGTTGCCCTTTGTGCATTTCAAAAATAAAATATCTTAATCTGATTTGTTCCACCTTTCTTTTCGCTCAGTTCTGCAATATTTGCTGGAATTACACCACAAAATCCGCTAAAACGTTTTAGTGGAAGGCGCTTTACAAAATCGCCATTCTGATTTCACCAACATTTCTAAAGCGGCTTAGGAATTATATTTTGGAATAACACGTGTTTTTTCTAAAACGCCTTTCGTGCACTTTTAACGATGTACGTGTAGTTATGGATAATATCCAGCATACATGTATGTGTAGCCTACATCTCCTGTAAATGTATTCTTTTTGCATCTAAGACAAAACTGATCTTCCATAATTTGATTAAAAATGCATGACATTGCATAATTTTTATTTATGTTTTATTAATTATGAGAAAACATAATAAAAAGGAAAAAGAAAAAAATGTACATATTCTCTAAAGATAACACTTGTTTTTGATGTGACCTGGCGACCATCATCCATTTTTCATTTAGATATAAGGTCTTATTTCGTTTAGGGCAAATGTTAAAAACTAGTAAAAACCCGGGTAAGGCGTCTTAGAAAAACCGATCGGTATTACACTGCACACTTAAAACGCCTACCGACGTATGCCATTTACTAGTGACAAGGGTTCTTGGAGTTTTAGAAAAGCGCTTTTGTAAAACCGCAAATTGTGATTACACCTGATTCTTAAACCTGGTTAAAACCGAAGAAGCTTTTGTAAAACGCCATGTGTAATTCCAACAATTATGTCCATATGTTGTTTAGGATTATGTCATTTGCGAAATAGCTGTAAGACAATATGAGAATGAATATGGGAGTTTCCAGGATAATGTTGTTCACATGATTTTATACACATACCTGCATAACAATCGGAGACAGAAGTCTTAATATTGTCCAATAAAAAATAAGAATCTAACATTTAATGATAACAAAAGGATTAATTGCTTAGTTCTCTTTGTTTTAGTCCTTGTTTTCTTAAATGCGGAAGTGTACCAACATCACCTAGATTACATAAGAGATCATCTAACAGTCTAAAATTGCTTTTAATTGCAAGTTAATGCATTCCGACCAAAATTTGTA